CTAATTTTTTGCATTTTTAGTAGAGACGGGGTTTCACCATGTTGGCCAGGCTGGTCTCAAACTCCTGACCTCAGGTGATCTACCTGCCTTGGCTTCCCAAAGTGCTGGGATTATAGGCGTGAGCCACTGCGCCCAGCCCAAAAGCCTTTTTAAAAATAAAATGCTCCTATAATGTTTAGTATGTGCCAGGCATTGCACTAGGTACTTTCCATATGTTAACTCATTTAATCCCCCAATAATGCTATGTGGTTATTTCACTGTCCCTACTTTCCAGATGAGGAAACTGGGGCACAGAAAGGCTAAGTAGCCTACCCAGCCACATACTGAGCTGACATTCAAGTCCAGGCAGTTTGGCGTTGGGGTCCACATGTGGCTCGCATTTTCCAAATTCTGCAGCTGCTGCTTCTGGAGCGTTTGTCATGTTAGGAGCGGGACAGGATGGAGTCAGAGAGAGAGGGAGGAATCTAGGGCCACAGTGTCTGGGACCCAGCACCCGGAGGGCAGAGAGAGGCACATTCCCACAGTTGTGTCCAAGACTGACTCAGGAAGGCAGGTGACCAGTCAACTGTGGGAGTGAGGAAGAGCTCAGAGGGCAGTTGGCTGAGATCTCTATGCTAAGGTGCCTTGGGTGGTGCCTTTCCCTGGGACCTGCCGAGGGCTGGGGAAACAGGCTTGGGAGAGGTGGGCAGGGAGGGAAGTGACCATCACCATTTCTGATGAGGCAATAAGAGTGACGTGGGGTGGGCCTGGCCCACTCTGCTGGCTCTGCCACTCACCAACTGTGACTTCAGAGATGTTACTTAACCTCTCTGGGCAGGTTACAGCAACTATAAAATGAGAGGGAAGGCTGGGCATGGTGGCTCATGCCTGTAATCCCAGCATTTTGGGAGGCTGGGGTGGGAGGATTACTTGAGGCCAGGAGTTTGAGACCAGCCTGGGCAACATAGTGATACTCCGTCTCTTAAAAAAATAAAATAAGGGGAAAATAACAGTTCCTTTCTCATGGCTTTGTTGCCAGGGTTAAAGCAATTTTAACGTGCAGAGTGCTGAGAATAGTGCCTGACACATACAGGGATGAGAAAGGCCCAGTAAATGTTGGCACAATTATTGAATTTGCATTCCTTGTCAAATGGGGGTTTTTGTTTTTGTTGCTGTTTTTTAAAAGAGTCTCTCTCTGTCGCCCAGGCGGGAGTGCAGTCACACAATCTCGGCTCACTGCAACCTCTGCCTTCCGGTTCAAGTGATTCTTGTGCCTCAGTCACCTGAGTAGGTGGGATTACAGGCACACACCACCACACCTGGCTAATTTTTACATATTTAGTAAAGATGGGGTTTTGCCTTGTTGTCCAGGCTGGTCTCGAACCCCTGGCCTCAAGTGATCTGCCTGATTTGGCCTCCCAAAGTGCTAGGATTACATGCATGAGCCACTGGGCCCGGCCTAAAATGTGGGTTATAAAACTATTATAAAAATAGTAATTGAGCTGGGCACGGAGGCTCACTCCTGTAATCCCAGCACTTTTGAGGCCGAGACAGGTGGATCACGAGGTCAGGAGATCGAGACCATCCTGGCTAACACAGTGAAATCCCGTCTCTACTAAAAATACAAAAAATTAGCCGGGCATGGTGGTGGGTGCCTGTAGTCCCAGCTACTCGGGCAGCTGAGGCAGGAGAATGGCGTAAACCCGGGAGGTGGAGCTTGCAGTGAGCCGAGATCGCACCACTGCACTCCAGCCTGGGTGACAGAGTGAGACTCCGTCCCCCAAAAATAAAAATAAAAATAAAAATAAAATAGTTATAACTATTATTTATTGAGCCTAGTAGTAGGGTCAGTTACTCATGCATATTAATTCACTTAATGTTCAAAGTAACGCTGTAGGGCAGGTACTATTCTCTCCCCTATTTTACAGAGGAGAGAAACTGAGGCATGGCAAGGTTAAGAAATTTGTTCAAGATCACACAGCTTGTAAGATGGAGCCAGGATTTGAGTCCAGGTGGTCTAACCCCAGACCCCACGCCTTGACCCCTTCACTACACTTAACCCCTACCCCTCACCACGGCCACAAGGCAGAAGTTATGTGGCCGATAGGTGGGGGTTTTACTGGCCCATCAGTCATCTATTTTCCCTGTTTCTGCTAACAGTTCTTCAGCTTCCCTTGGGGGACCACCTGTCCCTCATCCTCAGCCCATATGACCCAAATGGGGCTTCCTTTGGAGGGCTCCATGTTGACAACAGGCCGGCTATACCAAGCCCAGCCCAGCTACCCACGAGGTGGCCAGCACAGCTTTCGGGGCTGGGCTGTGTGTGGAACACAGGCCCTTGAACACCAGGATCCCATTCGATGGGGAGGGAGTTGACAGCAGGTTCACTTTCCTGCCCCACTCTCGCTCCCGGGCGTGTTCTCACTGAGCAGATGGGCGATGCATTTGAAGTTGCAGTATTACAGCTCTCTTTCAGCTGAGTGGGTGAGATGAATGTGCTCGTGGACGTTACGGTAGTCTGTTTGGTATCCCTAGCCTTATGGCAGGTGTGGTTGGCGGGTGTGCCCTGAGCAAAGGACCCTGGCCAAGAGAGTGAGATTGAAACACAGACTGCGACCAGCTAGCCATGGGGTGGCCCTCAAGGAAGAGGGGGGCGCCATCAGTCAAATCTTCCACCTATGGGGACCACCTTTTGCTAATCTGTACAATGGAACGTATGTGCTGCTCTGCCCTGCTTAGTGGCCTTGAATTATCTGACATTGTGTGCAAGAACCCCACCCATGTATGCCTGTGCATTTATTTTTTTCTTTTTGAGACAGAGTCTCGCTCTGCCGCCCAGGCTGAAGTGCAGTGGTGCGATCTCTGCTCACTACAACCTCCGCCAATGGGGTTCAAGTGATTCTCCTGCCTCAGCCTCCCAAGTAGCTGGGATTATAGATGTGCATCATCACTCCAGGTTAATTTTTGTATTTTTAGTAGAGATGGGTTTCGCCATGTTGGCCAGGCTGGTCTCGAACTCCTGATCTCAGGTGATCCACCCGCCTTGGCCTCCCCAAGTGCTGGGCTTATAGGCGTGAGCCACATGTCCGGCTGCACCTGTGCATTTTGTGGGGACAGAGGCCCCAGAGCTTTCTGAAGATTCTCAGTAGAGATTCTGGAAGGTTCTGAGTTCAGAGAGCTGCCTGCAACCACAGTCCCTGGGAGGTGAGCCTGGAAGCCTGTCACATGTCCATAGCATTAAGATTCAGCTAAAAGCTCCTTTCCACAGGGGTCTGAAGTGTGAGCATTGGAGGCCCCAGGTCACTGAATCTCAGAAACAGGACTGGCTGAAACCCAGGGTGGGGCCGAGGTGGGTGTGGCATACCCCACACCTGGAGGCTGGGTCAGGAGGCCCACAAGGAGCTCTGAGGCCTCAGCAGTGCTCCTGCCCATGCTCAGGCCTCCTTCCCACGTGCTTCTGCCAGCTGAGCTCTCTGGAGGCTGTTAGGAGGGGATAGAATGGAGATGCCCACTTTCTGGTTGTCCTAGAGACTGGGACAACACCTGATGTTCAGGCCCAGGGGTGGTTTACCAGGAGCTGGGAGGCCGAGGAGGTGGGAATCTGTGGGTCAACTGCAAGAAGACCTAGACCTCCGGTTACCATTACCCTCATTCTGCCAGTCTCTCACATTAAAAGTCATTAGGGAAAAATAATATTTACAGGAAATACTTATATAACCTTGTGTTTTTTGTTTTTTGTTTTTTTTTTTGAGACAATATCTCATTCTGTCACGCAGACTGGAGTGCAGCAGCATGATCATAGCTCACTGTAGCCTCGACTTCCTGGACTCAAGGATCCTCCCTCCTCAGCCTCCTGAGTAGTTGGGATTACAGGTGAGCACCACCACATCTGGCTGGTTTTGATTTTTTGTAGAGATGAGGTCTCGCTATGTTGCCCAGGCTGTTCTTGACCTCCTGGCCTCAAGCGATCTTCCTGCCTTAGCCTCCCAAAGTGCTGGGATTACCACGCCCGGCCTCATAGCTTTGTTCTAGGTGCTGCCATGAACCTACTCATTTACTCTTCTCAATGACTCTATGAAGAAGCTACGATTATTGTTCCTGCTTCACAGATGAGAAAACTGAGGGCAACAGATGCCTGGGTGCCCACCCTGATCCCCTCATTGGGCTGGTGCACCTACCCCCAGCTGCTAGGAGTGAGGTCTGGGAGGTTAGGAGACCCCACGCCAACCTCTTGGAAATGACCCACAGCCCAAGCTGGTCTCATGTCACTGTAACACACATCCATCCTAGCCCCGAACCCCATATACATAGATTCACACAAGTGGCCGCAACATTTATGCTCATGTGGACACACACACACACACACACACACACACACACACACACACACAGCCAGTTACCAACTCACTGGGCATGCAGCAAGGCCGGTCCCCTCCTTCAAGGGAGGATGACTCTATGGTTCAGTTTATGCTCCAGATCCTCCTACAGATCAAGCTGAGCCTAGACTTGACCTGAGACCACATCCTTGCTTAACTTTCTCCTCCCTCCTTTTAAAATTTAATTTATTTTACTTTTTTCTAGAGGCGGGGTCTCACTATATTACCCAGGCTGGTCTTGAACTCCGGGTCTCAAGTGATCCTCCCGTCTCCGCCTCACAAAGTGTTGGGATTACAGGGGTAAGCCACCCACTCACCACGCCCAGCTTTTCCTTTTTCTTTTTCTTTTTCTAGTTTCTCCTCTTCCTACATGTTCCAAATCCTCCTTCCTTATCCCACTTTCCTTGCAGACATTTCCTAACACAATCCTCTCAATGCTTCCTGAGCAATTCAGCGCATCCCTGCCTCAGGATCTGCCTTCAGGAAACTGGACCTAAAAGACACCGAGGCACAGAAAACTGTGCTGCAGACAGCCAGTAAGTGGCCAGGCAGGATTTGAACGCTGGCAGGCCGTACTCCCAACCGTAACACGCCACTGCCTTTCGGAGCAGGGGCCTGGCCAGGTGGGCTTGGGGTGGCTCTCACCGGTAGTTGCAGGGCTCAGCTCCAAACAGGCAGGCCAGGATCATTTGCTCGCCAGGGTAGCTCATCTCCACCAGCTCCTGCTGCGGCACCTGCGCAAAGATGTTGGTGGCCTGCAGGCTGTACCACTCTGTCACTGCCTGGGTAGCGCTGGTGAAGTTCCGGAAGGTGCACTGGGTCCCGTTGAGGCTACACTGTGGAGGCCAAGAGGGTTTTTTGTGGGTGGTGTGGGAGCTGCTAGCAGGACCCCAGCCACTGCTCGAGGGCCCTAGCAGGGCAAGAGCTGTGCTTTGCCAGCCGTCTTCTGGCTGCAGCTTGGTGGTGGGAAATGTGTTCATACTCATGCTCACACATACTCAAGGGCTGCCGCCTCATACACAGCTGCGTGCCAATCACAAGATCCCCTCATCAGGCTGGTGCACCCACCCCCAGCTGCTGGGAGTGAGGCCTGGGAGGTTAGGAGACCCCTCAGCAACCTCTTGGGAGTGACCCACAGTCAGTGACCAACTCATGGGCATGCACAGAGGCTGGTCCCCTCCTTCAAGGTAGGGTGACTCAGTGACTCAGTTTGCAGCCACCAGCCTCACCTCACTCATACCATTATGCATGAGCAAAAACACACACGTGATCATGTGTGCAGAGGCATGCACAGAAGACGCCCTCTCTCTGACCTCCACAGCCTCATGTCACTGTAACACACGTCCCTCCTAGCCCCGAACCCCATATACACAGATTCACACAAGTGGCTGCAACACTTATGCTCATGCGGACACACACACACAGTTCTGATTCCTTTTCCAGGCTCTGCCAGAGACTTTCAGATGCAGCTCCCCTGGAGGCCATGAAGACCAAGAAGAAACTCAACACACAGGAATGCTGCCTCTCATCTGTCCTGGGAAAGACACAGATCCAGTCACCCTGAGTCCAACACGGGGTGCAGAGCACCCTTCCACCCGGTCACAGCCAGCTTCTCATGACATTCAAGTCATCGCACAGGCATGGGACAGACTTGGCCCTCAGACTCTGGCCTTGGCCACGAGGCTGCTGCTGGTTCTCCCTGCTGGAACCCGGGAGGCCGGATAGAGAAGCTTCCCCCGGCATTCCTATACCACCCTTCCCAACACGCCCGGCCAGCCCACTCCTGGGGGCCTCCCTGCCTCCCCTTGGGGAGGTAATGGCAGTCCTTAATCCTCACTCTGTTCTGGGCTCTGTTCCCAGTGTCTTACATCTATAATCCCATTGAAGCTTCGCAGCAATGCCAGGAGGTAAGTATCATTGTTATCCCCATCATCATGAAGAAATTGAGGCCCAGGAGGTTAAGGAAGGTGTGACCACAGCAGATCCCCCATGTGACGTTGGCTAGTTTGTGTGGAGAGGTGGGGACAAAGCAGTTGAGGAAGTCATAGTGTCATGAGTGTGAACAGCAAGGCAGTGGCTCCCCCTCTGGGGAGTGTATGGTTCCCTCCTGGATCCCCATTCAAGACTGATCATCAGAATCACCAGGGAGCCTGTTGTCAATACAGATTCCTGGGCCTGGGCCCAGAACTGCTCACTCAGATTCTCCAGGAGTGGGGCCTAGGGATGTGCATTGTGACAGAGCTCCCGTGGGATCCTGAGACACAGACAGGGCACCTTCTTCCCACTTTTAGGCTTAAGAACTAATGGCATCCCAGCCTCCCAGTGCAGGGCAGTTGTTTCTTGGCATCTGACTGTACTGCACAGCTGTGGCTTTTCACCTGCCCAATATTTATGCCCCTATCTTTTGATAACAAGACTTGGTTCCTCCCTCAGGGAACCACCCTCCCCCTCGCTCAGTCCATGTGGTCTCACAGAGGCTGACATCACTCCCAACTCCAGGGCACATGGCCCAGGACTGGCCAATCATGAGAGCCCCTGCTGTAGCCCACAGTGATTGGTTTAGGGGTGAGCATGTGACCTAATGAGTCTTCTCAGGACCTTTGCTGGGACGATAGGGAAAGAGCTCTTTTTCTGGGACGACTGCTAAGCAAGGGCACTGAAGGGACCCTCCACATGGAGAGATCTTGCCCAAGATTGAAGTCGCCTGAGAGAAAAGTGGAACCAAGATGGAGAAAGATTCTTGATGACCTCATTAGAATACCTGGATCCAACCTTGCCTGAATGCAGTATACTTCTGGACTTCTTAGTTATGTGAGCCAATGAATTGCCTGTTTTGCTTAAGCTAGTGTGAACTGGATCACTTATACCAAAAGAGTCTTGACTAACATGCCAACAATTTCTATTTTTAAAAAATCTCTGCTAACAAGCAAAACAGGCTCTGGCTTCCATCTTATCTTTCCCCTAGCAAGACTCAAATTATTACAGAAAAGAAACACCCACCAGCCTCAATGGGTGGGGCCCATTGCTTGACATGTGCCTAGGGACCACTTACTAGTCTCATGGCCATTTTGCACCCATGGGCATTACAGATCTTTTCTGATGCTGAGCTGTTTGTTAAGCCATTGTGGTTATCTCCAAAGAGATCGAGGACCATGGGGTGGTGGGGGTTCCGTTCATCAATAAGGACCAGGGGTGTGTGGTTCCAGATGGAAGAGTTCAGGGTCCTGGTGGCATTGGCATGGCTTAGCTCAGGGGCCAGGATTCTCTCCAGGACAGCTTCCATCAGCTCATCCAGGTCCTTCAGCAAATGCTTGACTTTGGAATACCTGGATGGGGAGAGGGCTGGTTAGCAGGAGGAATGAACATCTGTAAAGCAGAGCAACTGAAATCTGGGACCCACTCTGTAGCAGTCTGTTTTCACACTGCTATAAAGATACTACCTGAGACTGGGTAATTTATAAACAGAAGAGGTGTAATTGACTCACAGTTCCGCATGGCTGGAGAGAGGTCTCAGGAAACTTACAATCATGGCAGAAGGTGAAGGGGAAGCGAGGCATGTCTTACACAGCAGCAGGACGGGGGGAGAGAGAGAGAGAGAGAGAGAGAGAGAGAGAGAGAGAGAGAGAGAGAGAGCATGCACAGGGGAGACTGCCACTTTAAAACCGTCAGATTTTGTGAGAACTCACTTACTATCACAAGGACGGCATGGGGAAGCCACCTCTATGATCTAATCACCCACATCAGGTCCCTCCCTCGACACATGGGGGTTACAATTCGATATGAGATTTGGGAGGAGACACTGAGCCAAACCATATCACGCTGTTACTCCAGCATGGCTGCCACTATGTATAAGAACACCACCCCACCTAAACACCTACCTCTCCATCTACCCACCCACGCATCCATGTGTCCTTCCACCACCCATGCACTCATTCATTCACCAACTTTTAATGAGCACCTACTATGTGCCAGGCACTTTGCAAGGCACAGACGGTATAGCAGCAAACAAGAGGGACCTGGTCTCTTTCCTTATGAAATTCACATTCAAGTGAGGAAGAATTATAATGGCTCATGGTTATTGATAGCTTACCCTGTGCCAGGTGCTAGATGCTTTCCAGGTCTTATTTACTATTTGCCACAAGTCTGTTACCGTCCCCATAGATCAGGAAACTGAGGCTCCAGGAATTGGTGTGATTTTGCAAGCTCACTCCACTGATAAAGGGCAGAGCTGAACTTAGAATCCGGGGTTGCTGGGCTCCAGCGGGTATGTTTACGGGGGTTCTGAGATCTCCCTCCCAGGAGGGAGCAACTTTGGGAACAGGAGCCAGTTTCAGGAGAGAGAAAATGGATGGGACTGTGAGGCTGGCTCCAATGTCTTCCCTCAGCCCTCTGGAGCTCCCATGTTGACATGGTGGCCAGTGAGAGATGGATCTATCAAGGAGTATCTCTGCCAGGCCCCGTGGGGGCCCGGGCCCTGCACCCCAGTCACTTCATATCCAATTTACCCAAGACCCTGCCTCAGAGTGGGTCATTGAGGCCACAAGTGCCAACTGTGGCTGGAGGACTTCCTACAGGAGCATTAAATGCTGGACAGAGGCCAAGGTCCTGGTACAAAGGTATACAGCAGCTGGAGCTAACATTGGCCTTCTATGCCAGTTCCCTGACCATTAAATCTGTGTACACAGGAAGAGGAGGATCGGGAAGGGTGGCGTCTGTGCAGGCGGCGGTGTTATTACAGCCCAGATGTCCACAGCTGCTGGGAAGCTTGGTGGGTCACTCTGTGGGCTCCAGGTTTGAATCCTGGCATGCCACTTAATATCTTGGGCAACTTAACCTCCCCGAGGCTCTGTTCTCTCATCTACAAAACAGGGGGATATAAATAAGTACTCCAGAGAATCGTTGGGAAGATTCAGTGAGGTGCTGCTTGTAAAGTGCGTGGATCAGTGCCCAGATGGAGTGCTGTCGTTCCTATTACTATTAGAGGTTCTCTTGAACAGCTCTAAGAAACCACCAAGGCAGGAAGAACCCCATTAATAAAAAGAAGGGACTTTCTGATAATTGGGAAAGTAATCACTGCGCATGAATTCCCTTCCAGGACTTTTAAAAACAGAGATGCTGTCTCACCACGTTGGCCAGGCTGACCTTGAACTCCTGGCTTCAAGTGATCTTTAAGCTTTGACCTCCCAACATGCTCTGATTTCAAGCCTGAGCCACTGTGTCCATGCCCAGTCAGGACTCTTTTCTTTTCTCTTTTATTTTCTTTCTTTCTCTCTCTTTCCTTCGTTCCTTCTTTGTTTTTCTTTATTGCTTTCTTGCTTTTCCTTTCCCTTTTTTCTCTTTTCTCTTTCCTTTCCCTTCCTTCCCTTCCCTTCCTCCTCTCCCCTCCCCTCCTCCTCTCCTCCCTCCCTCCTCCCTCTCTCTCTCTCTCTCTCTCTCTCTCTCTCTCCCTCCTCTCTCTCTCTCTCTCTCTTTCTCTCTTTCTCTCTTTCTCTCTTTCTTTCTTTCTTTCTTCAGGGTCTTGCTCTGTGGCCTAGGCTGGAGTGCAGTGGCAAGAGCTCGGCTGATTGCAACTTCCACCTCCCAAGTTCAGGTGATTTTCTTGACTCAGCCTCCTGAGTAGCTAGGATTACAGGGGTGTGCCAGCACGCCCAGCTAACTTTTGTATTTTTAGTAGAGATGGAGTTTCACCATGTTGGTCAGGTTGGTCTCGAACTCCTGACCTCAGGTGATCCACCCGCCTTGGCCTCCCAAAATGCTAGGATTGTAGGCGTGAGCCATTGTGCCAGGTCAGGACTCTCTTTTGGATAAAAATGTTTTCTGTGACTCAGCCCTTCTTTCAGTTCCTTGAATGCCCCAAATTTCTCACCAGCTGCACCTGCTGTGTCCACCACTGGGGGCACTCTCTTCGCTCTACCTGGCCAACTTCTACTCATTCCTTAGGGCACTTTGTTTTGTTTTTTTTGTTCGTTTGTTTTTGGACTGACTCCCTGTCTCTCCACAACCCTGACTAGGTTGGGTCTCCTCATGTGTCCCCTTCACAGGCCTTGCTATCAGGCGGAGAACTGGCAACCTGGAAGAATGGTTAAAAAGTAGCAGCTCTGGGATCACGTCTGACCTGGGTTCAAATCCCACAGTCGCCCACCGTGTGTCTCCAGGCAAGCTCACTTCTCCGAACCTCCATCTCCTCACCTGTAAACTGGGGCTGCGCCAGGAGTTCCCAATCCTAGGGTGATTGTGTGGATTAGAATGACACCAATTACCCAAAGGACACTGAACACAGTGCCTGGCATATCGTAAGCATTTGTTGAAGAGTTGTTTTATTTATTTATTTATTTTAATTTTTGAGACAGGGTCTCGTTCTGTTGCCCAGGCTGGAGTGCAGTGATGTGATCTCAGCTCAATATAACCTCTGCCTCTCGGAGTCAAGCAATTCTCGTGCCTCAGCCTCCTAAGTGGCTGAGATTACAGTATTTTTAGTAGAGACGAGGTTTCACCATGTTGGCCAGACTGGTCTCGAACTCCTGACCTCAAGTGAGCTGCCCACCTCGTCCTCTCAAAGTGCTAGGATTACAGGTGTGAGCCATGGTGCCCAGCCGAGTTGTTTTATTTTTTATCATCATAATGATAATGAATTCGATATTTGTGAGGACAGCTCTGTGGGGCCTGTTTTCTCTGGCAGGCTGTGAAGAGGACAAGGACTCTGTTTTGTTCACTGCTGTATTTGTGTTGCCTAGAACAGTGCCTGGCACGTAGTAGGTGCTCCATAAACACATGTGGAATCGAGAAATAGGCACTGGCCTGCCTGAAGACAGAGGGTGCCCAAGGTTCTCTCTAAGCCTAGGAAACTTATGATTTTTTATTTTTAAGAGATAGGATCTGGCTCTGTTACCCAGGTTGGACTGCAGTGGCATCTTCTTGTTTTTATTTTTAATTAATTATATTTTATTAGCCTTGACTTGAAACTCAAGTGGCGCCTTCTCAGCCCACTGCAGCCTCGAGCTCCTGGGCTCAAGCAATTCTCCCACCTCTGCTTCCTAAGCAACTCAGACCACAGGCATGTGCCACCACGTCTGGCTAATTAAAAAAAAAAAATTATTTTTTTTTAGAAGTGGGATCTTGCGATGTTGCCCAGGCTGTTCTCCAATTCCTGGCCTCAAGGGATCCTTCTGTCTTGGCCTCTCAAAGTGTTGTTATTACAGGCCACTGCACCTGGCCAAAAGTTTACGAAGTTTGAATCTTAGTTGCTGCAAAAGGATGAAAGCAAATGGAAAGACAGAGAGGAGGAGAAAGAGAATGAAGGAAGGAAAGAAAGAAAAGAAAAAAAGAATAAGGAAGAGAAATGAAAGAAGGAAAAGTAATAAAGAGAGAAAGGACGGAAGAAAGGGGAGAAAGAAAGAGAAGGAGAGAAAGGAGAAGAAAGGAAAGGAAGGAAAGGAAAAGTGGAAGGGAACAAAAGAGAGAAAGAGAACTGCCCGTCTGCTGAGGCCAGCTGTGCGCTCAGGGGCCACCTACTTGAAGGGGCTAGCATTGCAGATGGTGACGGCGGGGAAGTCCATGGTCTTGAAGCCTACGGAGAGGGAGACGCTGACCTCCCAGCTCAAGTAGGTCCTGATGAAGATGCCCCACTGCCAGCAGACGAGAGCAGTGAAGAGCAGGGTGAGCAGGAACCACACGGCTTTCTTCTTGGGCCCCTCGCAGATGATACGCTTGGGGCCGTGGGTGTTGGTGTTATCGCAGTACCACACCAGCAGCTCCTTGTACGTGTAGCCGGGGCCCTTCTGCAGCCGGTGCAGGCACTTCAGCAGGTACTTCTTCACGTGCATGGTGGCACCTGCAGAGAGGCATGGGGACGCACATCAGTTGGGACACCAGCCTTGCTTGCGACGATGTCCCAGTCACGTGCAGGAACTGGGCGGCAGCACATCCCTGTTCTTCCTCCCTCTTTACCTTCCTTCCTCCCTCCCTCCGTTTTTACCTTCTTTTCTTCCTTCCTTTGGCTATCCATCATCAATCCATCCATCTAATCAACCAAAATGCATTTATTGAATGCCTACTATATGCCAGGCACTCAAATGGTCCTTCTGGACTCAGTGAGCAAAATGGACAAGGTTTTTTGCCCTTTGGGAGTTCATAACCTAGTGAACAAGTGACTTAAACTCTCAACTCAGGTTCTCTGTGCATAAAATGTGGTATAGCAAGTCCTCACACGGCATCGTTTTGTTCAATGCTTCATTGCCAACGTTGATGAAAAAGAAAGTAGATTCCCAGCCAGGGCCACGGTCTATATGGAGTTTACATGTCCTCCCCATGATGTGTCTGCATGGTGCCAGGTGAGTGAGTGTGACTGTGTGTGAGTGCTCTGCAATGGAACGTGTCCTGTCTAGGATGGGTTCCCGCCTGTGGCCTGAGCTGCAGAGATAGGCTCTGGCCACTATGACCTTGAACTGAATAAGTGGGTAAATAATGATCTTGTTTTTATTAATCTTTCTTTTTCTTTTTTGAGATAGGGTCTCACACTCTTACCCAGGCTGGAGTGCAGTGGTGCAATCATGGCTCACTGCAATCTCTACCTCTTAGGCTCAAGTGATCCTCCCACCTCAACCTCCTAAGTAGCTGGGATTACAGGCATGCACCACCATACCGGTGAAGTTTTTTTTTGTTTTTTTGTTTTTTTGTTTTTAAAGACAAGAGTCTGGCTCTGTCACCAGGCTGGAGTGCAGTGTTGTGATCTCGGCTCACTGCAACCTCTGCCTCCCTGGTTCAAGCGATTCTTCTGCCTCAGCCTCCCGAGTAGCTGGGACTATAGACACGTGTCACCACGCCCAGCTAATTTTTGTATTTTTAGTACACCATGTTGGCCAGGATGGTGTCAATCTCTTGACCTCATGATCTGCCCGCCTTGGCCTCCCAAAGTGCTGGGATTTTGGGCATGAGCCACCGTGCTGGGCTGAATTTTTGTATTTTTAGTAGAGTCGGGTTTCATAATGTTGCCCAAGCTGGTCTCAAACTCCTGAGCTCAAGTGATCCCCCCACCTCAGTATTCCAAAGTGCTGGCATTACAGGCGTGAACCTCCGCACCCGGTCTTAATCTTTCTTAAATGTATGTATAACTCATATTTATTTCAATGTTTAATATTAGAAGCATTTTGGTCTTTACTTAGAAATTTGGTGACTTTTTTTTTGTGACCAGAAATAGGCCTAGGAGCTTAACTCTTATTGATATCAATTAGACTATGGTGAAATTGATTTCACTATACATCGTTTCACCTAGAGTTGCAGTTCCCAAGAACATATCAACGATGTTAAGTGAAGACTTACTGTAATAATTACATCTAACTTACAGGATTGCTGAGAGGGTGAAATTCGGGGACGAACAAAAAGTGCTATGTACTGAGCCTAGCACAGACCAAGTCCTCAGTATACCAGTTTCCATTGTCACTAGCTGTCAGTGGGTAAGACAGATGTTAAGCAAAGAATCCATCAAAAACGCAGAGCTATGAAACATGACAGGAAAGACTGGGACCCCATGCCCTGAGATGCTAGAGGCATTAAAGGGTGGTGGTTTAGAATAAAGATTCTGTAACCAAATTTTCTGGCCTTTTGTTTGTTTGTTTGAGACAGGGTCTCACTCTATCACCCAGGCTGGAGTGTAGCGGCATGATCATGGCTCACTGCAACCTCGAACTCCTGGCAAATGTCTGGCTTTGACTCTCAGCACTGCTGCTTTCTAGCTGTGTGACTTTGAGCAAATCTCCTTCTCAGTCTTTCAGTTTCCTCATCCATAAAATGGGGATAATCACAGCTTCCGCCTGACAACGGTGTCATGGAGGCTGGCTGCATGGAAATATGGAGAGGGTGGATTCATGCCTGGCACCTAAGTGTCAGCGATTTTTATTAGAAAATGGACGCCTGACCAGGTCTGAGAGTCCTTGGAGAAAGAAAGAAAAAAGAAAAAAAAAGGTGTTCTGTGGATATGAATTAGAATGGGGTGAGGTTGTGTCCAGAGCATTGAGGTTGGAGGGTATGGGTCATGAGGAGGAATGCCAGAGCTTTCTGAGACTCTGTTTCCCATAGGCATGAGGGGGTAGGATTCTTGTGAAGACCACCAGGTACTTGTTACAGCACATGGGGTATCTAAGGACATTCCTGCTTCCCCCTCCCTTCTCTTGACACAGAGCAGGAATCTGCAGCAGGAGCATCCCAGCTGTATTCCTCGAGCCCCAGTTGTATTTGATCTTCAAGGTCCAGACCAAAGGCCACCTCCTCCATGAAGCTCTCCTGACTCCAGGCTGGACCCTCACTCTGTTCTGAGAGCCTTTCCCTTCTAGGGGCACCATGCTGGGCAGTGTGGTTCCTATGTGCCCAGCATCCTCTTCCCTTTGCTCTGATGTTTCAGGTGAAGGTATCTTGCTGTCCCCTTCATCTCATTTGGTGTGAGTTGCCAGGCTGATCTCTCCTCTTAGCTCTGGGAGATGTGCATATGACCCAGACTGGAACATTAGGACTCAATTCTATCAGTTTAAATTGGAATAACTAATGGAGAGACCCCACTTTTAACTAAGCCTACTAAGCTGAGTTGGAGAGAAATTTCTGACATCACATTTGAACACTTGGATCCAGCCATGCCTGAAGCCATTAATTCCTGGCCTCATCAGATATGGGAACCAACATATTTTCTTTCTTACTTATGCATATTCAAATCGGATGCCTGACATTTGCACCTATAAGAAGCTTAACAGTAAAATAGACCCTTGTTTTATACTGTGTTCTAGTTTCTTGTGCCTGTGGCTTCTCCCAGGAGATCGAAAGTCCCCTGAGGATAGCAGCTCTATATCCCTGACAAGGCCCAGCACTCCACCGAATATCCAGATGTTAAATCTGCCCAAGCATGTTCACTCCTGATCCAATTATCTGACACAGTAACATCTCTCACCTTCCTTCCCCAAAAGGGGTCTTGTCCAACTTTTTTCTCTCTCTCTCTCTTTCTAACTCTATGTGCCTGCGCAGGCCATCATGGCTTTAAGAGGATGTTCATAGACTAACCCCACTCCCAACTTTCCCCAGAAGGTCTATTCCCTGCTCTAAAATAATAAAGTAGTAACAGTTATTATAATAACAACTACAAGGGCAACATCGAAGTACTAAATGTTTGCCATGACCCAGGCATGTGTAAAGAACCACGGCTTCGTCTGCCTTGTATAGTCTAACACCCTAAAGCCACACAGGTGAACATCCCATTAGGTTCCCATAGGTAGTCGTAGAAGAAACAAAGGCCTCTAGAATGTCTCCTTTTTTCTATTCTCATGTAATTATTCTGATTTAGTCAAGGAGAAAATCTTGTGTCCAAAATTCGTAGGTTCTTGGTCTCGCTGACTTCAAGAATGAAGCCACGGACAGTAGCGGTAAGTATTATAGCTCTTAAAGTTGGTGTGTCCGGAGTTTGTTCCTTCAGATGTTCAGATCTGTCCGCAGTTTCTTCTTTCTGGTGGGTTTGTGATCTCGCTGACTTCAGGAGTGAAGCTGCAAACCTTCGTGGTGAGTGTTACAGCTCATAAAGTCTGGGTGTTAATCCAAAGAGTAAACAGTGGCAAGATTTATTGCAAAGAGTGAAAACACAACAAATGGGGAAAGTAATCCCAGCGGGTTGCCTCTGTCTGTCTCTCCGCCGCTTTATTCCCCTATCTGACCCCACCCACATCCGGCTGATTGGTCCACTTTACAGAGAACTGATTGGTCTATTTTACAGAGAGCTGATTGGTCCATTTTACAGAGAACTGATTGGTCCATTTTGACAGGGTGCTGATTGGTGTGTTTACAATCCCTGAGCTAGACACGGAGTGCTGATTGGTGCATTTACAATCCTTTAGCTAGACACAGAGTTCTAGACAGAAGAGTTCTCCAAGTCCCCACTAGATTAGCTAGATACAGAGTACTGATTGGTGTATTTACAAACCTTGAGCTACACACATGGTGCTGATTGGTGTATTTACAATCCCTCAGCTAGATATAAAGGTTCTCCAAGTCCCCGCTAGACCCAGGAGCCCAGCTGGCTTCACCTAGTGGATGCCGCAACAAGGCCACAGGTGGAGCTGTCTGCCAATCCAGTGCCATCCGTCCGCACTCCTCAGCCCTTGGGTGGTTGAGCAGGCGCCATGGAGCAGGGGGCGGTGTTCATCGGGGAAGCTCGGGCCGCACAGCAGCCCATGGCACGGGGGAGAGGCTCAGGCATGGCAGGCTGCGGGTCCCGAGCCCTGCCCCATGGGGAGGCAGCTGAGGCCAGGCAAGAATTTGAGCGTAGCGCCTGTGGGCCAGCACTGCTGGGGGACCCAGCGCACCCTCTGCAGCTGCTGGCCTGGGTGCTAAGCCCCTCACTGGCTGGCTACTCCGAGTGAGGGGCCCACCAACCCCACGCCTACCCGGAACTCACACTGGCGTCCACAGGCACCTCTCCCTCCACACTTCCTGCAAGCAGAGGGGGCTGGATCTGGCCTAGGCCAGCCCAGAGAGGGGCTCCCACAGTGCAGCAGCGGGCTGAAGGGCCTCTCAAGCGTGGCCAGAGTGGGTGCCGAGGCCGAGGAGGTGCTGAGAGTGAGGGCCACCAACACGTTGTCACCTCTCAGTCTCAGGTTGGTACTAACAGGTCCTAACACCTCTCCAACCCTTCTAATCTCCAGGTTTAACGATGAGGCCTCAGGCTCAGACAACAGTATCTAGTTAGAATGGGCAATACTCTGTTTTCACAGAATGTTTCACATAAGTAATGTTTTACATAAGTAAAATGTTTTACATAATGTTTTACATAAGTAAAATGTTTTACATAAGTTTTACATA